TTCTATCTCCAGGATCTGTACAAATCGGCACATTATGCCAAAAGTCTTCTCACTGGGTGAGCTGCTTTGCAATATACTTCACATTGTTAGAAAAGGCTCCAGAAGGCCTTGGGGACATCAGTATCAGGGGCTGGAGCTGGACAGGCTCTTTCATCAGCACTTCTCCTTCCCTTTGCCAGCCAGGACCTCACATACTGTTCCGGATTGAACTGTCCTAGTGATGGTCCATTACATTTAATGAAAACCAGGCTGGACAGTCGGCTGACAGAGAGAGCATTCCTTTTTGCAGTAAGGATATCGTTCATGCAGCTGAATGCCCGCTCACACTCACTAGTGGAAACAGCGATGGTTCGGACTGCTTTCAGTAGAGGCTCCATGGCAGCAGGTGTACGGGATGCCCTGGTTTCCTTGTATTCGCGAAAGCCCTGAACAGTCTCTCTTCTGTCCACTTTCAGCACTTCGCACAAACGTAGCACCTCTACGTCCCCATACTGTATGTCTAACTCCTCTTCAGGCCAACTTCCAGGATGGATAACTTTTATGTCCTGGATTAGCTGATTGTCCCGGGCCTCCCGGCCATGTAATGGGATTTCTCTTGTGCTGACATGAGAGGAGGTTGTGGAAGTCATTCTGTGTCTCAGATTCTCTACCATACTGCGGAAAAACTGACCTGCATGAATCTGTACAAGCCTGCCATTCTCACGCAGGGCAACACCCTTGAAGGACTTCTCAGCTAGAGCTGTATGAACTGTAGTCATGTTTGGGCCAGGCATGGTGACCATGGATTCAAAAACTCGTATTTCTCGAGTTAAGAGCCTATCTGCTGTAGGCAGTGTCATCTCTCTTTTTTGGAGTTGCCGAGAGAGGTCGCTGAGCTCTGTGAGCGCATCGTACATCAGTCCCAGATTGCTGACAAACGTTGCAGATGTGAGCACATCATCCAGGCCCTTGTACTTTGCTCTGTCTCTGGAATCCCTGCTCGTGTCGTTTGCAGCATTTGTGAAGTGATCATGAAGCACTCGGTAGTTTTCCCAGACTGCTCTGACGCTCCTTTCACTTGAAGCCACCCAGCGGATGGACACAACACGCCCTATCACCAGGAGACGCTGTCCGACTGCTTGCGCACACTGCGCTAACTGCCTCTGATTTTTGGGGGAGGCATGGAACAAGGAATAGAGTTTGTCAAAAAAGATCTGGAAATGATTGAGCCCTGAGACCTCCTTGACCACATCCCCAACTGCCAGCTCTAGACGATGATTGGAGCAGTGCCACACAAACAGGCTTGGGAATTTACTACACAACTGGGTAGCAACGCCTGTTCTCTTCCCTAGCATGACTGAAGCCCCATCACATGCAAAAGAAACGAAACACTGACCTAAAAAGTCCTCGTTAAAATCTCTTCCAAGACACTCCATTAACGCCTTTGTGATGTCATCAGCCGTTGTTCCATCCAACTCATTCAGCTCCCAAAAAAACGTTTCGGGCTCAGCATCAGCTAATGCTGAGCGTAGACACACAACAAGCACCGTTTTACCACTAATAGTGGTAGATTCATCGACCAAAACACAGAGTTTTCTTTGGTTTTCTGTAATGTCTTTTGCCATTTTTTTCTTCAGCTCATGAGCTATGTGGTCGATGATTTCGCCACAGGTTTTATTGGAGTGCAAAACCCTGCCCACGTTCAGCCCATTCAGTTTCTGTACATTCAAATCAATTGGCATGTCTGTGAATGGCCGGCTATGTTTGCCAATTTTATATGCCGTTCGAAAAACTCTGATAGTGGTGTCTAATTCAGATTTATGCATAGACTGCACTTGATGTTGAATAGTTTCACGTGAAGCAGATGTAAGGATGTCAGCAGCTTTTACATGGGCTTGTGATTCTTTATGTTCTTTGATTTTTTTTCTCAGGCTAGCTTGTTGTTTGCCCTTGTCAACACCGAAATGAGACACTGCACACTCACCCCATTCAGTTGACAGTTTCAGTCCTTGTCCAGTGTGTATTCCCAAAGATTTGACATCTCTGCATATCCGACATCCTAGCTTCTTATCTTTAAGAAGGAGCCATGCATTGGTCTTGCAAAAATATTGCACCTGGTCCGTTGTCCAGCAGTCAGGTGCATCGCTTTGCCCGGTGTTGGTGGTGGCAGTTGCGCCAGCAGCAGCTAACGTTAGAGGCTCTGGAGGAGGCGGCGGAGCTAGTGCTAATGCTAATGCACTAGAACTTGGAGCAGGAGGATCAACCAAAGAAAGCTCCCCATCAGACACAATTTCCAACACAGGCACAGCATTCTCTGTATTTGAAGTTTCTTCCGGCGACAACCGCTGTCTTTTTGCACTTTTATTAATCCACGCTAACATTTTAGAAATGCTAATTTGTGACGTGACTTGCTTTCCTTCTCTCGGGGGCGTGCCTGCTCTGTTCTATCACTCTACATAGCCACCCACTGGGTGGGAGTTGCACTGCATAAACACAACACACGTGCATCTAGGTATGTAAATTGTAAAGCATTAAAACATGGTTTTACTAACAGTTTTCAGTATGTTGTTACTTCGGCATTATTATTATTATTATTTTGAAACGTGTATTACTATTAAATCACGGTCAAATAGGTTAATTTTGACATAGTCGTTTCCACCACAGTATTTACATGGAGAAGATAAGCCCCGCCCCCTCTCCAGCAGGTTCTGTTTGAATGACAGGAGTAAACAGCTGACAGCCGCTGTGAAACTCCAGCGGTTAGAGCGATGAGAATGTCCGTTCGGCACCTCATGACGCATCTACTGAGTACCGGGCGGCTGTATATATATATATGGATGTATAATAAGAACGGCGGGAGAGTGTTGAGTACTGGCACGGTGCATGAGTACCGGAGTACCGCCAGCATGCCGGTACTGAGCAAGAAGTGCCGGTACTCCATGGGTCAGAACCAGAAGTGCCGGTACTGCGTACCGGTGAGTACCGGCCCAATTCCAGCACTGTGAATATCTCTTTAACATTTACACCTTTCGATCAGGCATTTGTGAATCCATTTTGTATTTGTGGACCAAAAATGCGCTTGCGGATCTCAAATCTCTGTTCACGGATCTCAAATCTCTGTTCGCGGATCGTCTTTTTACACACACGGAATTTTGAGACATATTTTCCGCCGGTCTCGGCTAAAATCTACTCGTGTCACTCGGTTATTTTCGGAAACCACGTGATGGCCTGCTGATGACGACATTTCCGCATGATTTCAAAGTAAGAGCATGATGGTTTGTTTAATGCTCTGTTTTTGTATTATAATGAACAGCGGAACGTTAGATGTATTCTTCATCACCATAACCCTGACCTAAATACGGTGCTTTTCTACAGATTACTTTATTACTGCACTGGTAAGGTAAAATTAGGCCGATTAATAAGATGTGAAGTGCTTTGTAACTTTGACCCGCTTGACTGAATACACAACAAACAATGAAGAAAGAGTTTTATCTGGGCTGTTTCGCTGCCAGCTGCTCCCCCGGGACCCGAAAGTGGCGTATAGCCTGCACTTCAACATCAACGAAAGTGCTCGATATATGCTATATTGAACCAATAACACAAACTAACTGTATCACTATAACATGATGATGATGGTGATGAAGAATGCATCTAACGTTCCGCTGTTCATTATAATACAAAAACAGAGCATTAAACAAACCATCATGCTCTTACTTTGAAATCATGCGGAAATGTCGTCATCAGCAGGCCATCACGTGGTTTCCGAAAATAACCGAGTGACACGAGTAGATTTTAGCCGAGACCGGCGGAAAATATGTCTCAAAATTCCGTGTGTGTAAAAAGACGATCCGCGAACAGAGATTTGAGATCCGTGAACAGAGATTTGAGATCCGCAAGCGCATTTTTGGTCCACAAACACAAAATGGATTCACAAATGCCTGATCGAAAGGTGTAAATGTTAAAGAGATATTCACCGATCTTTTTTTAATTTGTGAACATATTTAACGTATTTGCAGATCCGTTTTACACTTGCAAATGTATTTGTGAGTTTGCAAATCTTTTAAATGCATTTGTGGATGTTGTTTTACATTTACAAATCACATATTTACACACAAATTATTTTTATGTTCACACAAATAATTATGAGACATATCTATGCCCATACATGCGCGTCATGATGGCACATAACAGCTCGCGACCGCAGATTATTTCGGCGATTAGGTCAAAAGTAAATTATATTTGACGCAACTTCAGTTACATTTCCATGACTTTTCCAAAACTTTGGGAAAAATATTGTTTTCCATAACTTTTCCAGGGCCTGGAATTTGCAGTTTGAATTTCCATGACTTTTCCAGGTTTTCAATGACCGTACGAACCCTGACCATGACCCTGACAAATGTATCTTGCGTGTGTGTTGGAGGAGGGGCTCTGTAAGGAAGTGGCAGATTTTTTCCGGCTGTGTATTTTCAAATTCTAGCGCACTCGAGCTGGTTTCTCCAAAATGACCTACCCCACCTTTAAGTTTGTATAGAAATGTGTGCAATTCGACCAAAGGATTAACTACATCGCTATTAGTTGACAAACATTAACGGTTATATTAGAGTTGCAGTTCGGTGCGTGTTCTGGACATTTGTGAGATATTGTCTGAAGTAGTCTAGGAATGATTATGTTCAAGCGGAAAGAAATGGACCCTAGCTGACATTTGTGCCAAATTTCAAGAAGTTTCCTCTAGGACTTGTGATATTACTTCAGGAAAAAGCAAAACCTGAAAACTGTGACAAAAGTCTGATGAACTGTGTGAGTAACTGCAATGATTATTTGAACTTTCAGTACTCTCAGTATGCCCAATATACGTTACACACTGTAAATGGCAGCCAATTGCCTTGACTTTCCCTTTTACTCCTACTTGCATATTTATTAGAAAATCTAATTAGAGTGAGGCAGCAATACACTTTCAGCGTTATAAATGATATTTTTATACAGCAATATTTATACTTTAATTCATAAAATACAGATGGAACTTTAAATTAAAAGCCATTTATTACATTGGAAACAGTCATCTCATATTGCTGTAATATAGTGACAATAGTAAACAACATACAGAATTCCCTCTTGCTAAGTTTACACAAACAACAATTTAAGTGACACCTCCTCAAACTACCTTAATAAGAGTCCTTAAGTTTCCTATTGTTCTTTTTTGGTCTTCCAAGTAAAAAAGTACAGAGGCTATCAGGGTCCTTCAATTGTAAAACTGTAAAAGCCAATAATGAGGTCAATATAATGCCTCAAGTCAACCCTCCTCCTGTCTTGTCACGTGCACTATATTTGGGTTATACAGTGCATGCTTAAAGCCCTTTTAAGTATTGTTGTCCTTTGTAACATGGACTGCAGGCCTTTTAATAAGTAGCCTGCCTGAAAGGGTGCTATATTAAAATCTATGAAACATTTGGAGAACTCCATCTTTGATGTATCAGCTTGGTCAGGTAGTTTCCCCAAAGATGTACACTTTTCTGCAGAATCATTTAATATAAAAAGGTGACAGATTGACTCTTCTGCTGCTGCTTTATAAGCAGAACTATTGTCTTGGCATCATCTGGTTCATAGAACCTGAACCAAAGAGCAGGAAGTCTTTCACAGGTCTTTGAAGAGGGGGTGCTGCAGGGCCTGAGCCGCCGTCATCCTGGTTCCAGGGTTCAGGTCCAGAAGCCGGTCCAGCAGGTGGTAGGCCTCGTCAGGAACTCTGTCCCAGCCCCGCTCATCCAGCTCCACCTTACAGTCTGTTTCTGAGTTCCTGACTTCCTGCTGGTTAGGGAGGGCAGAAGAGAGAGACGAAGGGTTCTCTCCTGCTCCGTCTTTGTGCTGTTCAGCAGGACGATGTGTGGGCGTAGCATCTTGGATGTTGTGAAGGCGGGTGGAGGTGGAGTCTCTGTTAGCTTCGGGGAGGGGTGTGACTTCATCTGGGGACGGCCTCCGCCCTCTGAGGGTCTCACACAGCGTCCTGAGGTCCTGCCGAGGCAGCTCCCTGCTGCACGCCACCGCCTTACCTGCAACAGGTTGATTATACGGTGACGTTGGATTCACTCACTCATTGGTGATAAACTGTTTTTCTGAAATGACTATTCTTTTTAAAGAAAGGTATATTATCAGAACACTTTATTTATCTCATAAATAAGATTTCGGGACAGTTGCTCCATTTTAGAATGACAAAAAAAGAAGAATTGAACACAAATATTTATAAAAATGTATCAAGTAAGAGTGGCCAATTAAAATATAGAATAAAGATAAATATATATCTGAAGTAAATGCCCAATAAAAGATACAGTCAAAAATAGAATACAAATATTTACATAAAATGTGGTTAAAATGTGCACATTATACTACAATATATAACATGTTTATTACAATATTAACAGTGTTCTATTAGTATTCATAAGGTATGAATATGAATTTGCACAGTTGAAAGTGTTATAGTTTGGGTTCGGCTGCAGTCTACTTCCTGTGTGGCTCTGCGGTGCACTTCAGGGGAATTATTAGGAAAGCAAAGGGATCAGGTGAGAGTGAGAATACAAACCAAAAGCCTTGGCTGCCCGGATGGTTTCTCTGGAGCCTCGTATGGTCATGATCTGAGTGAGGGCGATCAGGTCGTCGCTGGCTTTAAAGAACGGGTAGCGTCCGCTGAGCAGCGAGAGCAGGATCACACCAGCTGACCACACGTCTATAGCTGCAGGGCAGAGGGCAACATTAGTGACAACTACAGAGGGAAGTGGCCAATCAGATGCAGCGCCTCCTGTGAGGCCACCTCATTGTTAGCAATGAGAGAAACAGTTTGCATGCTGCTTTGGTGTTACTGAGCCCTTGCATTTGGGCCTCAGGTCGGAAAAAGCACCGTTGCTAACCAGGTTTTATCCTTCTTGTCCAAAGACTATTGATATGTGAACACCATGATTCATTGAGGGATGATTTGGAGAGGACTCAATGCAAACTTAGTGTGAAAAGTTCAACGTTAAGTTAAAATGTAGGTGAGGTCATTTACATCTGAATGTTTGTATGAAGAGGGCTGGACACAGCTATTGGACTGTGGTTTCCATGATCTGAACAGAAAGGAGCAGCAAACGAGTCTTACTTAAAGGTGGGGTAGGTAAGTTTCAGAAACCGGCTCGAGATACACTTTGTTATATTCCATGGAATGCTCTTAACATCCCGATAGCAATGAATATCTGAAGTGCTTTGACAACAAATCCATACAAACATGTCATCTGTGGAAGCCGTGGTACTGTAAAAAGTACAACCAATCCGTTTAGCCGGCCCGGCTAAACGGATTGGATTGCCGCCCTGTCTGTCAGCCTTCCATCTCGTGCACGCACAAATGTATCTCGTGCCCTCATTGGGCGTGCATTGCAGCAGTACTTCAATGACTCGCCAGGCGGCCACTTTCACCAGTCTGCTGACGTCATGTGCGCGTTCATGTGTGTTGGAGGAGGTGCTCTGTAAGGAAGTCTGAAGGAAGGGGCGGATTCTTTTCGGCTGTGTACTAATTGTAGTGCACTCGAGCCGGTTTCTGAAACGTACCTACCCCACCTTTAAGTATTAACTATCAGGTAGCCTAGACTTCATGGTTTAGCGCTCGACAAAAAGGCAGTTTGGCGTGCCTCACATTTCAACCTGCAGCAAGCGTTCTATCTGATCCTTAAGAAGCCGTGCTGTAAAGTACCAACCTGTTCCCTGGTTGGGACACTTTGTGAGGACCTCTGGTGCTCTGAAGCCCGGAGTGCCAGCCCTGGGAGCCACCTGAGGTTTCCTTTATTGAAGAAACAACATGGGGCAGGGGGTTTAAAGGAGGAACACACCAAAGGCATTGGACGGTTGAGTTGTCTTTCAAATCTCTAGGTTCAAAAGTATTTAAGGAACCCTTTTCTGAATGGTGAGTGTAAGTGGCTCTTAATGATTTGTTTCAAGAAAAGAAATCTCCTCTCTCTGTCGGCTGTTACCTGGACATGCAGATGTTGCAGACGCGGTCGCTCTGGTAGCAGCTGCAGGTGAGGCCCTGCTGGACGGCCCTCTGAGGCTTCTGACCGCCGCTCTGGGTCCTGACAGGCAGCGGGCCCCGGCCGGCCGCACAGTACCTTCTGTTGGCCGGGTCCTCTGTTTTACTGGACTTTACCAGCTGAATGAGAGACTTTATGATGAGAAGAATACAGCGAGTAAGAAATGAACACTGATGATGTCCTTTAAGAGGGTCTTCATTTAAACCAAATGAAAAGGACTCTTGACTTTTCAGATACAATAAACAGAGAATACATGTCCTGTACTGAAACATTACTTTCCACTGTGCTCACCTCTGCTTTAATGGCAGCTGGTTTGGTGGTGGCTGCAGCTGGAGTGCAGCTGTTCAGGTTCCTCTCTCCAAACACCGGCCGAGGCTGTTTGCGCAGACCGGACAGATCCTACAGAAAGAAAGGGGGTGACATAATTGAGTTAAAGGCAAAACATTAGAAGGAAACAAATAGATGCATAGACAAACACATTTTTAATAAAAATCTATACAGGAAATTCCTAACCCAAATTCAGGCGAGTGTGCCCAAAAAAACAGACAGAGAAAAATATGAGTGCAGACACCTTTGTGTGGTTGGTGCGAGAGGCGGAGGTGGGGACAGTGGTGGAGACACAACGTGCTTTTTTAACCAGAGCTTTCCGAGTGGCTGAGGAGGAGGTGGTGGAGGAGGAGGAGGAGGAATGAGGTAAGGATGTTGACGGCCGTGGAGGTAGTGAGGTGGAGGCTGTAGTGGTTTTGGGAGGGGGCCTAGGTGGTGCTTTGCTCCTCTGTGTGGTGTCTTGTTTCCCCATGGACCCTCCACCTTTTAGTGCTGCCCTCTGCCTCACCACCTTCAGGAGCTCGATCTGTGTGTCCGCTGTTCCCTGAGCCAGGCCGAAGTCCACCAGCGCATACCTACACATTTCAAGGAAATACTTGATGTTATGTACTCGTGTTCATCAGTTACATGACACATTCGGCACTTCTATGCTCACTTTTAAAGAGGACATCATTTTCATATTAGGAATCGTTAAAGTAGGTCTTAGGACACATCAAGTAGATAGGAGTGTGACCTCTGTTGACATGTTTGACCAGAGGCACATTCTGATAATCAGTTCTACATGCAGACCTGAGGAGAGGGTGGGGGAACTGATGGCAGAGTAACTTCAGTAGGACATCGGTTCCAGCTTCCAGGAGCTTTTTTTCTGCTTTCCAGTATTATTGCTCGGAAAAATGATATTCCAATTCCATCACACTGGCGTCTTCCCAAACATATTCTAAAAAAGTCTCACTCTTGCAAGCTACTTGCTGCTGCGAGTCCAGATAAATACTGTTCCCATGTAGTTTGAATGTTGTAAATGTGACTCCTATCAAGGATTTTTCTAATTCTTAGAAATGAATATACAAATGCTCTTTTTCTATATGAAAGTAGTCATTGAACTACTAGAGAGTATAAAGGTGTTATATAATTGCTCCCAAAATCATTGGCACTAAGCTATAAAAAAAGAAGAAGAAATGAAACCCCATCAGACGTAGTCATGCAGCTGCATTCCTTACAGAGAGATGCGAGTACTCACGTGTTGCTCTTCCTGTTGTACAGGAAGTTGTTTGGTTTAATGTCTCTGTGGATGATTCCAAACTGGTGGACGTGTCTCAGAGCCTTCATCAGGTGATAGATGTACAGACGCACCTCTTCAAAAGTCAACGAGCCAATGATGTCCTGATGAATACATGGAGATAGGATCAGAACTTTTATAGGAACCAGAATCAAGAGGTGATCGTGTTTAATAACAGTTACAAGTGAAAAGCTGTAGCCACATGTTTTTAAAAGAAAAAGTACAAACCACGATAGCTTGATGCTCCATATAAGGCATGACAATCACTACATGGTCCTCCTTCCTGAAACAATATGTTGCCCCTATCACACTCTCTTTGCCTCTGCAAAGTGAAAAGAAAAAGGATTTCAATATTAGTCTATAATAACAATAAAAACACAGATTTAACTTAAATGCACCTTCATATATTCAAAAGAGTGCATTTACAAACGAGCTAGCCCACACATCAATTTGCTAAAGCATAACAAAAAACCTTAAAGGAAAGAGATGAAACAAAATGATACAAGAGTGGTTTCATTGAGCATTTGACTAGACACTGTGTCTCAAGTCTCTCACTAAAGTACATACGTTTCCAAGAATGACTGCACAATGAATTCATTTCAAACTAGGCTATTAGTAACACTGTATGATGTCTATAGTAATGATGTAATATTGCTAAAGTAAAAAGAACTAAACATTTATAAAAAAGGTGATAGAAACTAAAAATCAGGAGTTCAAAGGAACTCAGACTAAAACTAAAAATGACAAAAGCATTAACGATCACTGAAAGTATAATGGGGCTGCACAATGAATCCTACTCTTATGGGCATTGCAATATGGACCAGTGCAATATTCTAATAGGACAAGGCACACATATTGGTTAAAGGCTAAATATGTGTAAGAATACCTCGTTAAAAAAGTACTGTGATATACAAAGACAGAGATGTCCACACTTAAATCAAATAAAACAGCCACTTTGCACAACTTGTAACGTATGTAGTACCCTATGTCTATATGTTACTGTGTTTGTAGTTGATTGGTCTATTATAGAGGAATGTTATACATTTTGTATAATTAATCCTACTCTTTTGATATATGTATTTTCTACTGTGGAAATGTATATATTTGCTGTCAATGCTTTTATTGTATTTGAATGTATTTTATTATATTTAAATATATATATATGTTGAACTCATGTGGAATGACTGTTATAGTTGCTTCTGTGACAAAACAATTTCACAATTTGTGTGTAAAGTATATATCCATCATGGATCCATTCTATTGGTTTGGTACAGACCATGATCATTTATTTAATGTTTTCATGATAATGAGAATAATGATGTGATTATTGATCATTATTCTTTCCAGATCGTGCAGCTAAAGTCTAAACACTCATTTGAATAGACAACTCAAAAATATAAGAAGAATGAGCTTTTCAGTTGTTAAACAAGCGTTCTGAAAGTCTGGAGATGTAAAGTGATTTGTAATCACACATCAGTGTCGGACTCACCCAGCGACAGTGAGACACTGAAGCTCAGCAGCGATGCGTGTAGGGTGGCTGGTTGGGATGAGGTGCTTCAAGGCAAACATCGCTCTCCTCCCATCATGCATCTGGGCCTCACCCAGAAACACAGAGCTGAATGTACCTGGTATACAGACACACATCTCATGAACACACTCTTCTACTTCAACAATCCAATGATGTGTACGAGTGCCTACTTTATTAACCTTAACAGACGTTTGAAATGTACCTTCTCCGATTTTGTCAGTGATACGGAAAACCTTGGCCAGCTGGGGGATAGCTTTGTAAAGATTCTCAATTTCGATGTCCACATCTCCTGGAAGAAAACATGAAAAGAAATACGCACTCATAAACTAACAAGATTTTAAAATCCAATACCATTTTTAACATACTCACTCAAATAATGTGTTACAGGATGGAATATAAGACATTACAGAACATTATTTTATTATATTCTTAAGCATTATTTGAAATGAAAGTCAAATAAAAGTGTTTGTTTTCAAGTCATGAAGCAACCTACTTGAGACTTTGCTTCTCCTCCGCCCTCCATCCTGTTTAATAACACATCCCTCGGTGCTGGTGCTGTCAGTGCAGACAGGAGACAACTCCATCTGAGACAAAGAGTCAGAAAGGACACACTTCAAAGGGCTGCTAACTGAAACAGTTGAATAAGAAAGGATTTAGAGTAAGGAGATTCAATACTTTATTGATATGTTAATATAGTTAGGACATAGACATATCTAAATTAGGGGTGGAAAGGTAAATACATTAGCTCTAGTACTACTGTACAAGTTTGAGGTACTTTCCTGTAATAGTCATTATTATTATTATTATTATAGATTAAGATGATACTTTATTGATCCATTGGTAAAATTCAGAAGCTACTCGGTAGTGTGTATATATATACATATTTTAAAAAGCCCCACTTTTACCAGCTGCAACATTAAAGTGATACATTAATAAGTGCGTCATTAATGTGTAAAGTAATATATAATGCCAAAATGGGTCGTTCTGATCTGCATGTACATTATATTTTGTAATTGTTTTGTTGTTGATGCCAATACTTTTATACAGCTATGTAAAACTTTAAATGCAGGCTTTTACATATAATATTATTATATTAGGGTATTGCTACTTTTACTAAAATAAAAGGTATGAGTGCTTCTTCCACCAATATTTACGTTACAATATGTCATATTAACTTATGGAAGTAATGTACAGTGTAGTGTGGAGAACTGTATTTCCTTGCTAAAGTTATTGGCAAACTGTCCTGTTATTGGCAGGTGGTCAGAACATGCACAGCTAATGTTAAGCTTAGCTCCGTTTGTGTTTACATCAAATCTAGCGGCTATTGTTAGCTACAGTCTGTCAAGCTATAGCTAACCACAGCCTCTTGAGTTACACAAATAAACTCACCGCGTTAGTTTGTCGTTCAGTGCAACTCTTTCTTCATATGAACATTACCTGAACACACCATACGGTAATAGGCGTATGTTTCATAGGCAACAACCTATAAATAACATATAATTATCTGTCGGCGGATGATTATAATAGTTAGTAGACTTTCAGGCTCTGAAGCTTTCCGCGAACAACAAACTCCCCGCTAAAAGTGACGCCGCATCTCGCGCATGATCTCGCGCAGCATCGGCACATTCTTCTTCCTCTCTCGGTTTAGTGGCAGACTGCTGCATACCGCCCCCTACTGTACAACAGTGTGCACGCCATGTAATTTTAGCCTTGTAACCGCTTGTAACCACCGATGTTATAGTCTTAATACAAACTTTAGGACATAGTAAATAGTAAATAGTGTCATCCTGATAGTTCTAAATTGACATGTAATAATAGCTTGATTAAATAAATAAAGGTAATTGTATAGCCATCTCCAAATGACCTGTGGATGTAGTAAATGTTGAAATACCCCAAAGAATGCAATGAGTCCTCCAGTCAACACATACTTTATTTTAATAGATAAATAAATAACATAAGTAACAATAGGACATTAGAAAAAATGTGTTTCATTTACAATATGAACATATAATGCACTTTAACTATTATAATGTTTAATAGCCTATAGAACAGACAACAACTCTTCATGCAAATCTCATGTTAGCGAACACAAACATAAAGAAAACATATTATGTTAACAACATATTCATATAACAGTTTTACATACAAAACGTCTAAAATAAACCATCAAATATCCCCAGGAAAGCTTCCTCTTCTTTGCAGTTTGTGCTAAATATAAAAAAGAGGGTGAAAAATGTGTACTTTAGTCAAAATGCTTTAATGGAGAAAAAAGAACACTGTAATAAGTCAAAAAAGCCTTGTTATAATAGTTTCCTCTACCTTCTGTTGACAGATGAGCTGCTGTTGGATGGGAGGCTGTGTGAGAAGAAATCAAACCCTCTGGTAGTAGGGGCCACGTTTGGGAGAATTTCTGGGGTCGTCACTGTCATCCCTTCTTGGAATATGATTGGTCTCTGCAAACGGAGGAAGACAGGCATGTGCCATAAGGGCCAGCGTTTTGAAGTTCATTTGATTTATCTTAACCTAGGAGTAAGTACTGATTTGGTAGTCCCAAAATCCCATCAGCAAAACAGCAACCTTGATAACAAATGTTGCTTTTTGCCATATGTGTTGTTGACATCTAAATGTAGCCATGCAGACACAATAACAGTAGTAGATGTTCAAGATGTTAATAAGGCTCCATTGTGTCTCTTATGACCACAGTAGGATTTTCGGTTAAACAAATTAGAAACAGGTCTGTATGTAAAATAATATTATCCATGTAGATCTCTGCATGCGCACACACACACACACACACACACACACACACACACACACACACACACACACACACACACACACACACACACACACACACCTTTATATTCCAGTCGAGTGTGAGTCTGTTTTGTGGTTTGACTGTGACCAATGAGGGTCGTGGATGTCTGAATCCAGGACTTAAAGTTGGTGAAATTGACCTAAAAGACAAAAATATGAGAAATGTTTTACTACCTTAGCTACAATATAAAAGCAAAATGAATGATTGTGTTATTTTCTGGGATGATATTTGACATATTTCACACAGTATTTGTTTTTCTTGTGTTACAGCCACACCTTAATTGGAGATCATTTGTGGACATTTGTCTGCCCTTACCTCAGTGGTGTTCTGGTGATCCGGGGTTTGACTTGTGAGCGATTGAGGAGTGCTGATGCAGATGCTGCAGCAAAGCCTACACATGAAACATCTGGATTCTTATCAAAATCATTACAACAGTTGAGTCATAATCCCTCATGATCATACCTGAAGTAAGGTATTACTCTACCTGTCACACTGTAGTTAACAGACTGCTGGACTGTAGGTACAGTATTGGTTTGATACGGCATCTCGCTGGCATTCACCAAGTTCTCATCATCAAAGTCTCCCCAGTCGTCCCATTCATCTCCCAGGTCGAAGCAGACAGTGGGGATGTGTGAGGATGAAGCGTTGTTGCGGTGAGCGCTCAGGTTTGGCACAGCAGAGGACCTGTTGCTGTAAGCGGAGCTTTTATTGGTCTGGTTTTCTAGAGGTTTGTGGTTCACTCCAACACTGTTTCCTGTGTTGCTCCACGTTGAGGAACCTAAACACGGATAAATAAATAAAAAGGATGAATACACAGTGAAATGCTTCTGCACTTTAGGTTTTGTTTTATTCAATAAAAAAATAGTATCCCCCTTTTGAAGACCATAATTGGTGGTATCGCATGTTTTTATCATTCGCAGCAAGCAAGTGCTCCAAAGGCATAGACGATAACCTTGGCCAACTAATATAGAAAGACTAACTTTTTTCCGTGATTGCTGAAATAACACAAACAAACTGTGTAGAAACAAACATTCCAATTTGGTCCCTGCTAAGTACATTTTTCTTTATTCACCTTCTGCTCTTACTATGCTTCTGTGATATCCAGTACAAAAGTCCATAGAGTGGCGAAGTCCCTCCCCTTCCGGTGGACCTCCATGGGACCTTATTTCTGAATAAGTATGTATTGAAGTCAATGGGGAGAGAAAGATTATCTTTCGATCCCGTTTGAATTGTGCCACGAATTACACATATGATGTTTGTCAATTTAAAAGATAATTTTGCAAGTCAACATTTTTTAAATGTGTCGTAAAACTGTGAAGTAACACTTTTGTGTGAAACCGCTCAATGAACTACAACTCCCGTCTCGCACCACACACCAAGATGGCCGTCACGTTGGAACATCTCACTTCTTTCTTTCAGAATGAGGCGAAAAGTATTAAAAGAGGAGAAAATCACTCCAAGTCTGCACGTTGAGAGCTGTGCACACACACAAGGGGAGTTAGTCGGTTCCGTAAGAGCCAGCATGCGGGACCGGGATTCTGGGATTTGTAGTCTTTCTAGTTGCATATCTTTCATAGTCTTATATTTCAACAGTTTTACGACAAACTGTGACTTTTTTGACATGGAAATAATTTTTTAAGATTGACAAACATCATGTGTGTAATTCGTGGCACAATTCAAACGGGATCGAAAGATGATCTTTCTCTCTCCATTGACTTCAATACATGCTTTTTCCTAAATAAGGTCCCATGGGAAGTAGATGGGCGGGACTTCACCTCTCTATTAAGTTCTGTCCAAAAAAATGTGTGTCTACAAATTTCACTGACTAAAGATTTGGTCTATTGTGAATTATGTTTAGTCCTTTCTTGCTAACTTTGACTTCCCCTTTACAGTAATATACTTTTACAACAAAGACGTCGAAGTAAATAAGATATTGTTTGATATTTTAAGGGACAACTGAAACACTCTCTTTGTTGGTGCTTTTATGGATGCTCCATCTAAAAGTGGACAAAGAAAAAAGATTTTCATAAAGCATGTTAACCGTATCCTTATAAAACTTACAAATGCACTGCACCATGCTCCAAAGGGGTTTAATGAGCTCAGGACAATGTAGACAAACTGGCTGTGTGTACATTTTTTTAGTTTTGTAAAAATCAGTTAAATCATGCTAAACCACCAGTTTCTGTCTCGTGATGAGTTAAGCTGTTTAACAATACCATGGTGGTAAGTGTGGGACACAGCAGGTGTCGGGACAGCCTCCTCCACATAGTCATCGTAATCTGAGGGACAGAGACATACAATTAAAGATAAAGGGGTGAGCAAAATGCAAATGCAATACTGAGTTGTTCAAGTCATGTTTCCCACCATCAATGTGGTCCAGTGGAACTCTGTCTGGTAGCTGAGTGAAGTCTTCCCCCGTCAGATCCACCGTCTCAGTGTGAGGTCTAACTGAAGCTGCATACTGACTTCCTTCGTACCTTCATCACATAAAACAGGTCATGGATATCATTTAGCATCAGTTCTTCAGATGTCATTGAAATGAAACTTATTTTATTGTCACACTTTTTCAGAATGTCATTTGCAGCTGTTAATAGACTTGTTCTGGTATGAGCACTTATGAATCAGGGTGTTAGATGTCAGTGTGACTGTGAATACCAGGAAGCAGTAGGTAGCCTCTCTCTGGGTTGGTAAGCAAACTCCTGCATGTTGGCACACACAGACTGCTCGCCCATTTTCATCTGAGGAAACACAATAAGATGTTTTATTATCATTGCGTTTAAACACAAGACATTTCTTCCACTCCAATGCACTCCACATAGCAGCATGTATTTTAAAGAAATGATAAAAAAGTCAAACACAAGATGTATACAGATCAGTAATAAAACACTTTTTAGATTAACTTATGAGCAAATAAGAAGAGAAATGTATTGTTTGTCAAAGTTAAGCTATCTTATTAAAAAGGATTCAAATGTATAGTCAACTGCCACCATGGCGGATTATATTAAGAAATGTTATTTAGAAAAAGCAATTCCTACGATGAAAATAATCAAGGATTAACATATTCCATATTTCAACCAACCTGTACTACGTCTTTTTTACCATTCTAATAGTATCCTCATAGTTTAATCCTGTATAATATCTGTTCATGCATTATGATGTTACAAATATGGGGCTGTTTCATTGTGGCTGGTTTATTTCTTGTTTTTATTTGTAATAGATGAACTTCCCGACTTGTCTCATTGACATTTCTTTCATTCTTTTGTAGACTCAATAAAAAGTGTATTTTTAGAAAAAAGCTTTGTATCTAATATTCATTTACCACACATTGAATAGTGTTTATTCACTTCAATTCACAGACGTTTTTGTGCGATGGTTATTATTTCAAAGAGCATATGATTCAGGCTTGGACCGACTCCATAAAGTCCTACTGGTTTCCTCCCTCACCTTGAGCCGTTTGACAGGAGTCTGCCCGAGTGTGTCACTCCTGCACCTCAGGTCTTGCAGATAGGAGGAGAAACTGGATTCTGGATCGGATAACCTCTTCCGGGCCACAGTGACACCTACTTTACCTTGAGGGTGGAGAGAAGACCTCAATGATCATGACAGCCAGTCAATACAATCAAATACGCACACAGTGAAACACGAAGGATTGTACTCACAGCATTCGTGGCCACAGAGATCCTTATTCCTGCAGAAGTGGTTGCACTGTCTTTTATTGCCTGAATCTGAAGAGAAAAAGTCATCACAAATATCAACTTGCCTTCAGAGGTTTGAAGTAA